ACAGACTTTTATTATGTATTAAACTACTATCAAAAATAATCCAGTGCATAATTCTGCTTGGTCAATCTCTGTTTTAACTCCCAATTACATTTCAGGAAAGCAAGAACCTGAACTTGTGACTTTTATTATATCTTTTTTCCTTCCTATGAAAGGTATGAATTTATATAGTGAATTGAAACCTGCTGACAAAGTCTTTGGTCTTCACTTAATTACCTTTTGTGGTCCACAGACTATTCAATCCACAAAGTGAATTAAACCCACTGAAATTACTATCTTCTATTAGCAATGACTTCTAAGTGTGTAAACACTTGTAGAAGTTTTTGGTGTTAGCAGCTGCCCTCTGCTTACTGCAAAAATGGGAGAACTACACCCCAGGTAGCTACCATCCAGTTATACTGCACTGAGCACGTCTTACTACCTACAGAAAGGAAGGTTTCATCAAGGCCTCTATACGTTGGTCCGCAAGAACACAGGAAGAGCAATGAGATGGGAAATCAGATTGTTATTCAACTAGCACCAATGTTTCACTGCTGCAGTCCCTGTTCTACCTGGTACTTACCTTGCAGTTCAGGCATAACTGCCCTTCCTTGCTGATTAAGCTTTCTTATTACTATATAACTTGAATGTATTTATTCATATTGAAGGTTGTAATGGAGCTCTTTTCAAGAACACTACACAAAGATGCTTCGCTTAGGAGTCAGCTTCGCAGAATACTGCTGTAAACTCTGTGTGTCTACACTCGCTCTCCAGACGAACAGTACCTTTGATATTTTACCTTGAGCTATTTAAAAATACTAGAGTAGTTTTTTCAAGTAAACAAGAAGCTGGAGAATAGAAGCCACGTGATTATCGGACAAAAATCAGAACACCAACCAACAAGACTAGGTAAGTGTTTATGATAGCCTTCAATTTCCATCATGTTTGGTTCTAGTACTGATCTAGAGCTTCAGAGGTTGCTGAAATAGGCAAGGAAAGTCCAAATAGTGTGGCCATGCACTCTTCCACTTGTAACAAAACAGAACTTCAGGATCAACACCTGCAACAAGGGAAAGTTTTCTAGTCATCTAGCAGACAGATGAACACATGCAACCCTGGCAAGGTGTGCAGCAGAATTGCAAACTGGTCATTCCTCTCACACACTTCAGAAAAAAAATCATCTTCACAGCCAGACACAGTGAGTTAAGGAGAGCTACCATTCTTTACCACAAAGCAGATCCATGCATAGTCGAAGGTTTATGATCAACCTTCTCCAGCCCTTGTACTGCTGAGAATACTAGAGACTTTCCACACCTTTTGCAAGTCATAAATATTTCCATAAAACAATATGATGCTGTGTCCTCTGCCTGTGTATTTTTGCAAATGCAGCCCTGATCCACTGCTTAACTGTCTAGAGTTATGATGGTGGCTCCCCTAAATCAGGCTGTATTTATTATCAAGACTGTCACTCCAGAAGGATAGCCACAGGAGTTTACACCAGACATGAAAGGCTGGTGAATGGCTTTACTGCACTTTTAAAGTGTTAAATTTGTAAACTGACACAAGTTTTCAAAGACTTCTTGTAGTTATCACCAATGCCGCTGCCCAGATTATCACTGGTTTTGCCCTCATCTCTTCTTTTATCCTACCAATTTTTGAATTTGATCTTCTTTGCAATTTACTGCCATTAGCAGTTCTCAATTGTTTTCTTCACTTGTTTCACTTCCCTCTCTAGCATTCTGCGTGGAATGGGACCACTAGAAGCTTAGTAAACATATTCTGTTAGTGACCTCTACTTCCATTCTGTAAAATTCACGTTTTCAGATTTGAAGGCTAATTACCGTAACACTTCCCAAGTTACAGTTAGCTATCTGTCTGCAGCTCGCTAAGGCAACCCCCCTTGGAGTGAAAACCATCTCGAGTACTGGAAATCTACAAATTAAAAAGAAAAAAAAGACTAAAAACCAAGGGCAAGTCATATAAGGATATTCCGTATTATTTTAATAATGGAACTAGGTTAGATAGGACAGAGTTCCATCATGTAAAATGTAAAGTTTTCACATTTCATTTACAAGAGTGGTTTCCTGATAATGCATGTCAAACACGAAAGTAAGCTTTCCAAGACTTGCCTGTGAATTAGGCTATGGGGTTAACAAGGGACACAAGCCCAGGAAAAAAATAGTTTTTTGCATTTTAAATCTTTTTGAAGTTTTAAAATGTGCTCAGCAAGACATTTAAGATGAAGGACAAAGTCCGGCTCCACAGGCAACTATCAAAATTTGAGTACTATGTATCCTTCTGATACCTACTTTTCATTAAGCTGCTGAGAACTTCATGACATTTTACTTGTTTAGTCTTTTGAACTGCTACAGCTTTTAAATATTTTTGATACACTGGTATTTATGGGCAGTCACAGTTCAATACAACATAGTTTTTCCACAAATCTTTAGCAAGGTGGCTTGTTTCAAGTAGTAAGAAAGTTCACACACAAAATCATCAGATTTGTCCCGGGGAAGTTCAAGTTTGTTGGAATTTTTTGTTGTTTGGTTGGGTTTAAGTAACAAGGAATATTTTGCCCCTCACCAGAAGAACTTCAAACTTGTTTGCTAACTGAAACAATATCAACTTTTATGAAAGCAGACATTTTCAAAAATTATTATGTATTAGAACGTACAAATTATTCACAAGGTTGAAAGTTTACTGTCTTTCTGGGACAATCCTGTGTACACCAGGAAACTTGACATAAAAATACACAAGAATTATTAAAGTATTTTCTGTTTTACTGTTCATACCTTGCGATTTGCACCTAGAGTCACTTAAAACACTTCTTTCTTCCCCTTCTTCCCAGTCCATCAAACACTGTGGTAAGCTGCAAGCTTAATGGCCAGCACATGATCAGCTGGCAACTATGTTCTTCTTGCACTTCTTTATTTGAGACAATAATTTAGATCCCTCTCTACGCAACTGGAAGTTTCCACAAAGTCTGCAGAACATAGTTTTCATTATGACTGACAGAATTAGCTAACCAGTTCACCAGGCTGTGATCAGACAGAGAGCGGAGCAGAAAAACAGCATGGTCACAATCACCTCTTAGAACAGAAGCCTAAAACCCACCTTTTATTTGCAAGTTGACTTTTAAACCTTTAGCGTTCATCATATTTCTAGTTTTAGAAATCTAAACTTTGTAGCGCAGGAGGGACTTTTTGAACTTGGAACCATTCTAGTAAAAGAACTTAATTCCACCCCTAGAAATTGGCTGTCACTCTACATGGATGCGAGGATGTTCTAATCAGGCTTTTCCGGACATGTGAACCCTTAGCACTTGCTGTAAGAGTGTAATTTGACATTAGAGGACTGATTTTTATTTCTTTTATTTAAAAACACAACTCGAAAGAGCACTTTCACTTCGGATATAGCACTTGCAGTTATACTACTGTGACAGTTCTGAAGACTAACAGAATCATGAAGTACTCCTTACCAAAAACTGAACAAACCACTACCCCACCTAGAGACAGTCTAGTTAGGGTTTTATACAACACATATTACCCATGTGTGCCTTGCACTTTATAGACGGTAGCTTTAGTTTAACATTTGAATTCAATGTTTCCACTTTTGACACTTCACACACTTTATTTCCTCAGAAGAGTAATACTATTCTGTTGGATGCTGACGTGGCTTTAATACTTCTTAAGCTTTATTATGTAACATGTATACAAGATCATTCCCATTCTTAGCTGAAACCATGTGAATGTAACAAGCAGATGAAGCACCTGTAAGAAAGCATGTCCAGTCCTCCTAACTATGATCCACTTGTTAACCATGAACCTTTAGCACTAAGTTCAAATATAAACTAGTTTTAGTAAACAAAGTATAGGAGCCTACTATATAATCAAGAATAACTGAAATGAGTGAGTGCTTACCTTGACTCTCCACTACTGTTTCTTACGCTTTCTTCATCACTGTGCCCATTCATTGTAAATAGTAAGAAGTATAAAAGATAAATAAAAGTCCACTCAGGTTACAAGGTGGATATTAGGAATCCACTTCTTGGTACTCTGTACGTCTTCCAGACTCTGTACGTGTTTGCTTTAGTGTTCTCACTGGGTATTCAAGATTTCTCCAAAAATACCTAAGACAGTAAAGAAAAACATTAACACAATTTTAAAGTATGTTTGCAACTAAAGAGATACCAAAAATAAGCTGGTTTTTTCACTAACAGTGAAAGGGGGCATGTTTGACATCATGTCTGTAATTCAAAACCAGCTTTTTTTGTGCTACCTGTTCATTGCCGATTCATTTTATCATCATTTTCTTGTCTGAGAAAAAAAATTGTTTTTCCTGCTGTGAAAACAAACAAAAATCAGGTCTTTTTATTACACTTTAAAAAAATGGAAGAGCTAATTGAAATATAAAAAAGGCATAGAAAACCTGTCCAGCTTTTTGTCTGACTGCATCTGGGTCCCAACATACACTTCTTTATGCCATTATGCTTCTTTATGAAACTTTTCACGGATGATGCTATGAAGATGGTGATTTCTGCCAAACCACTAGCTGCAGAATAGGAAATGTTATGGAAATTACATTTTCTTTAGCTTTTGCAGGGTGAGAAGAACAGTTTACTGCATATTTGTACTATACCTCATGTCTTAACTTTTGCCATAGTATTGACTTCAGAACAAAGTAAATCTAAATTTTAAAGAAAAAAATGCCTACTTGTACACGTAGGTAAAAACCCATAAATATTAAGGTTCAGCTAAGGTTTGCTTAGTAAAATGTATTTCATACATAAAACACAGTGGAGGCATTTCCAGGTACATACATAATGCTTACATACACCTGTGGGCAGCAGCAGGAAAATTAAGACTGTCCCCACTAAAGAGAGTCCCCACACAAGAGTCCCCACTAAATCACACCAGCAAGATCTCACAGATGGAATGATAATTATTCCACATACATGCGTATATTAAGTCAGATCGCTGCAGTCAGTATCCGGTGAACCCAGAGAAAGTTTGGGCTCACGGGAAATGGGCCGCAAGTATAAACTCACTGATAATCAGATCAAGAGTTGCGCCCTCGCAATCAACGGTGTGAAGGCGATTAGGGTCTGCCTGCCCCGGGGTGCTCCCCTCGAACACGCCACAGCCCCAACCTCGGCGGTGAAGGGGGAACCCTCGCTGAGGGGCGGGCACTGCCCTGCGCTCGGGCCGCTCCGGCCTGTGAACAATGGCGATGAGCGAGGGCAGAGCGACTAGAAGGAGCTCCGAGCCCCGGCGGGGCCGCGCAGCGCGCTCAGGGATCCCGCGGAGGCGACGGCGGCGACCTGGCCGCTCCCGCGCGGACAGCGCCGCGCCCGCAGCGCCCCGGGGAACACCGCGGGCGGCGACAAACTTTCTCCCCGCCGCCCGCTCCCCGCTGATCCCGATCCCTAGCCGTTCGTCCGCAGGGAGTGCGGGCAGGGCCGTCCGCCTGCCCCACTCTCGGCGCGGCCTGCGCGGCCGCCGCTCCCTGGCAGCGCCTCCAAGGCCGCCGCCGCCGCCCTCCACGATTGCCTCCCCCGGCCCCCCCACGGCCGGAGCGGAGCCGCGGCCGCTCTCCGGCCGCCCGGGCGGCTCCGCACTGGCTCCCCCCGCAGGAGCCAGCGGGAGCAGCTCGACCCCACTGCCCGTCTCGGTCCCAGCGGATCCCTCCCTCCCTCCCTCAGCGGACAACAGCGAGCGGGCCCAAGGACCCGGCCCGGCGCCGGGCATCCACCCCTCCGCGGCCGGCAGCGCGCCTCGGGCCGCATCTCCTCCGCACCGCCCCCCCGCCCGCTCCCATCCCCGGCAGCTGCACGGCTCCCGGCCGGCGGAGGCAGCGGAGGAGCCATGGCGGCCTCTGCCTACCTGCGGTGCGCGGGGCCCGGCCGGCCCGACCCTCCCCGGGGAGCCCCCGGCCCGAGGTCGCTCTGCGCCCCGCGGGGAGCTCGTACGCAGCCCCGTGTCGCGGGCGGCTCCCGTGGCCGCGGCGGGGCCTGGGTGGCCGCCGCTCCTCTCGCCGGCTCCGCGCTGCCTGCGCCGCGGGCTCGCTCGCTTTGCCGCTCGAACAATGGGGCCCGGGTCGCGCTGGGAGGGGCGCAGGGAGAACCGGGGTGGGCGCCTCTCTGCTCCGCCGCCGCCGCCTCCTCTTAAGTGCTGCCGACCGCCGCCATCACGCCGCCGCTCCGCGCAGCCTCCCCCTCCCGCGGTCGGATGGAAACCCCGGGCGTGATGTCAGCCCTGCGCCCTGGGACCGACCGGCAGCGGGAGGAGGAGCCTCGGCCGGGGGTGGCGGGCCGCACCGCGGGGCCTCGCACAGCGCGGCGGAGGTGGGCCCCGGCCGGGCGCTCGGGGAGCTAGCGGGGCTCGGCGGCAGCGCCCGCCCGCCATCCTGCCGTCCCTCCCTCACTGCCTCCCAGCCTGGCGCGGGGAAGGGGCTCCCATGGCGGTGTGCGGGCGCAGGGCGCGGCCCAAGGGGCGCCATGGCCCGAGCGCCGCCCGGCGCGGTTCCGCGCTGCGCGGCGCGGGAGGTTGTTTGGGGTTTGTCGGTGTGAAATCACAGCCCGGCGACAAACGCGGCCGCGTTTCTCAGTCCAGCGACGCTGTCAAAAGTGGTGTCGGGGCTTGCACTGTACCCTGGATGGGGGCTGGCCTTCCTCCTTGAGTCCAAGGAGATACGCCGGGACCTACGCCCATGCCTTGCAAAGTGGTCAGCGTTAGTTTAACGAGACTCCCGGTAGTTATCAGAAAAAAAAAAAACAAACCAAAACCCCAAAAAACACACACACAAAAAAAGCCGTTTAAGTTGCGTGCCCAAAAGCTCCCAGGGCGGCAAAGGAAAGTAGCAGCTGAATGAGGGCGTGCTGTAAACAACACCGCGCTGGGAAGAGGAAGCAACTTACCTGCCCTCTGCCAGGCGCAGGCACACCCGGTCATAAGGCTCTGTCGCTGCAAGAGGATTATGGGGACATTACTGCCTGACGTCTGGCACCAGACCTTTGAACACCTGCAAGGGTGCAAGGAGTCAGATCACCAGGAAAACACTGCTCATCAACGAAGGGAAGCTTGAAGGAAGCCAGTCACCGTGTGGGTATACGAGAGGAAGGTGGTCACAGCAGCTATCAAATCAGTTCAAGCTTGAAGAGTTGTGTTGACCAGGACCCAACATCAGAGCCACAGGCTGTCAGCTGGAGACCTCTGGGGCCTATAGCTTACCTCATGGCTGCCCTTCCAGGGTGACAGTGCTCAGTGGAGTGTGGACAGCTGATGTACCCACTACCCTTCAACTGAGTTGCTGGAGTTTCCTGGAGCCTACCAAGGAGCCTTCAGCCCACCTGGCCCAGTGTGGAGTTGGCTGTCATGCACTGAGGCACTGCAGAGGCCAGATGAGGCATACACACGAGCCCAGCTCTCAAGTACTACGTAGGAAATTACCACAAAATCTCAGTGGGGGATGGCAGAGAAAAAAAATATACCTGTAGAGTTAAAAAAATTGCATTAGGAATTGGTCAGACAAGAAAACTGCTTCAAAATTTACAAGAATGATATAATTACACTATGTTTCTTACTGAAGAACTTAAGTTTGCCCAAATCAACTTGAACGAGAATATTTTGTGATAGACAAGCTCTGCAAGAGCAATGGACTGAAGTATAAATTCAAGAGTCTCAAAATGAAAGTAACTGTTTTAAATTAAGGTAATTAATAACAAAATAATTTACCTAACCCCTGCCCATGGGCAGGCAGGTGTTCAGCCATTCCCAGGAGAGCAGGGCCCCATCACATGTAATGGTGATTTGGGAAGACAAATACCATCACTCCAAGTGTCTCCCCATCCTCCTCCCTCCAGCTTTATGTACTGAGCATGATGCTGTGTAGTCTGGAATATCCCTGTGGTCAGTTGGGGTCAGCTGTCCAGGCTGTGTCTTCTTTCAACTCCTTGTGCACCTCCAGTCTGCTGACTGATGGTGCAGGGTGAGGAGCAGAAAAAGCCTTGACTCTGTGTAAGCCCTGCTCAGCAGTAACTAAAACATGCTTGTGTTATCATCACTGCAGCACAAATCCAAAACATAGCCCCATTCTAGCTACAGTGAAGAAGATTAATTTTATCCCAGCCAAAACCAGCACATCTACATGTTTAGTTATATTTTACTCCTGGATTCTTTGGTTTCCTTCAGCTAGACTCCTTTGGTAGAGTTTCTCAGCTGGCTTGGAAATCCCTTTTGAAGGTATGGTTTCACAGTGGTTTAAATAACTGGTGTTAGAACTGCTGTGATTCCATCCTTATCTGCCATATGAGCCAAAAACTAGCCCCACTCAAAACCAATTGCTTTCTGGTCCCTTAACTTTCTGAACTGGGTCACGGCATAGTTGCACATGCAGCAGTTGTTATTTACAGTGGTTAAAAATTGTCACAACAGTATCTGGAGATCTTTCTCCACATCTGTGTGAGAGAAGGGCTTTTCTTTCACATCAGAGCTTCTTCATATCGCATCTTTAACCAATTCTTTCTTTCCCAGATGGATGATATTCCTATCTTAGCAGCATTTTACACCTTATTACATAAGTAATACTGACTTCTATTAAACACAGCCTTCAGTCTGCATCAAGAGAGAAATGTGACACACAACATTTTAAGGACAGAGGGACAAAGCTTTTTGTTATTACAGAAAGCTACCACCCATGGGAATAAGCTGTCTTCTTCTGAAACCGTATTACAAGTTTCTGTACCTCACCAGGATGTGGGCAAGAATATTTATTGTACCCAAGGTGTCACTGATTTACCCCATACCTCACTCCATAGCTGTTCATGAGTTGGATTTTTGCTTGTAGACAAGTCAATCAATACACTGTCCAAGACAGGTGCACTGTTTTGCAATTAGCATAATCCATTTCAATGTCTATGTGTTCAGGCTACTTACCTTAACGTATCTTTTTAATAGTGGTAGTCGTTCATGTTTATCATAGCATTTATATTTATAAGCAAACACAGTATATTTAAGAAAAGTCTTTGTGTTAAGAAAAGTTCTGTTCGTAGCATTTAGAAGTTCTTCTGGACAAAGAAACTTTCTCCATTATAAAGTTTGGAAGCTTTAAATACTGGATCTAGCAATCTTTACTGAGGCAAGATGGATACAAGAAATATCCTTAAGTTTTAACTACACAAGAAGTTATGTACTGGTTTTTTGCTTTTTCTTCTTTCTGAACAACTCCCTTACCATACTTTGATTTTGTCCTTCTGCCCTTCAGTTAGTTCTAAAACATGTCCCAGAGAGCTCAAATACAACAACTCGAGATATAATACACTAACAAATATTTTCCTTCTCTTCAGCAGACATTATATGCAGCAGGCATAGCCTAGTTTGCTTCTTTTCATTAATTTTTTACCCCTACAGTTATTCTATTTTATTTTACATTCTCTCTTCTACTAAAAAAAAAAAAACAGTTTATGTAAGCCATTATCCTATGACTTAAATACTACATCTTTCTTGACTTCTTCACCTCTGCTAGCTCTCTGTTGTTTTTTTTTACCATGCTCAGAATCCCTTCCTCACTGGGGCCTCACCACCCAGCAAGCTGAACAGTGTTAAAGATTATGGAGATTGAGAAGAAAACAAAGGTAACAAAAAATAACTTATTTTATAGAATTAGCTAAAAGAAAAATAAATGGATTCAGTTCTAGGAGAAAAAGCTAGTCTAAACTTTTTGTCAGTTTAGCCTGTGGGCCATTTTCAGACTAACCTTGTTAGAAATGAGTTTGGGTTAAATCTGGTACTTGCTTAGGTCTTGTTTACACATACAGCTCATCAGAAGTAGTTATGTCAAAAGAATTTTGTGTAAGATACAAAGTCTTGTTAGAATTAAATTTCATTAATACTTAATATTTAAAATGCAGGTAGGTTTGTTAAATGCAGTGCATAGAAACTGAAATTATAGAAGAAAAAAATTAACTGGTGACTAGTTTAAATAAATTGGCTAAGTTTGACCAACTAACTATGGTTTTTTTTATAATTTAATTATAAATTTCTTAAATTATTTGTGCAATTCCTTTAAAAATATGTCAGTACATCATCTTCAATTAAATGATTTTCAAGTTTAAAAAGCCCGGCTTCAACTGGTATATGTATACATAAAATTTCTTAACTGTATGAGTTTGATTAAAGTGAACAACAAACTAGTAACTGGACAAGCATGATTCAAGGCTTTACTTACACCTGATCTATAGTATTATCAGGTAAAGTTTGAACAGATTGCTGCCTTGTCTGAATAGAGTATCTGTACGTGATTAGAACATTTCAACAGAAACATTGGATCAATGCAGCATTGGCTGAATATTTTGCTGAGAAGATCAGAGAAATAGTTTAAACAGTGGCATTTAAATGGTTATAGTGAGACTTTAAAGTTAGCATCTGTCAGGACAACTAAGAAACTTTCACAGTTTTCTTTAAACTACTGTTTTGTAAGGTCTGTCTAAATTACTATTGATTTGTTGGAGGCATTAATTCTCCAAAAAGCAGATTCTGGGCTTTTTGGAGACTTTGCCTGCTTTATATGCATAGTATCTATTAATGTTTTCTTCTCAATGTTTAGCTAACAAAAGTGTAAACTGAGTTTGAAGCAAACTTTTTTTTCTGCTGCTTAGGTGATAACCCTTGGTATTTTCAATGTAAAGACAAACCTGTGACTATTTTTTTACAGTAAGCTGCTTTAGACTATGTTCTGGAGCAGGAGACGGAAGTTATTTACTAGAGACTTACTTAATCACCGTAACCACTTAAATGTTTGTGCATAAAAATTTTGATTATAGTGTTTAGAGTTAAAAAAGAGTCTTACAGTAATGATTCTTCAGGCCACGAGTAGTCTTTGTATAAAGACTAGCATTGTCAGATGCTAGTTTTAAATGTGTCTGTTTTCTTGTTATCATACTATTTTTATAGCCTTTTTATTTCAAGTCAGAACGGTCATAGTAACTCTTTCATTTAGACCTTAATTTATAACCACACACTTGTACTTTCAAAATCCTAACACTTTTGATAGATTGAACTTGCGAGCTGATTTCAAAAGTTACTGCAGAACAAGATAGTGAATGAAAAAGTAAATAAAGTCAATTCAACCACATGAGTGTTTTTCATTAGGAAGCTCTAGTAGAAGAGTGTCAGTAATGTTTGGCAAAGAAAGTAACCAGTGTTTTAAAGATACTCTCTAATGTCACCTTACGAAATACTCCTAAAAATCTATGTTTAAAGTTACCTAAAACATCCCTTCAACAATCAAAATATGTCAGCTCCTACATGTAGACTTAAGACATCAGAATTCTGTTTTAGAGAGCTGTTATACCATTTCTAGGGCAGATTGCCTTTTTTCAGGGTTTGCAACAGTATTATCATACAAGTCTTGTTCAACTGGCACCTTTCTTTCTTCCCTTGTTTGCTTGCTGGTGTATCATGTGCTTCTAGTGGTCTCGTTCCTCATCCGTCTTCCAAAATTCAGCTGGTTGGCCAGCTGGACTGGTTTGTATGGCATTGGCCAGATCCACATGGCAGGTGGAGTGCAACAGCAAAAGGCATTGTACTGGGCAGCTGTCATGAAATATGCACCTTTGCTTAATGAGCTCCTTCCATAAGGTGTTTTCTGTGCTGCAGGCCCTCTTCTGTCACCATGTATTACTTCGAACCAATTTTTCATTTGATAAGCGCTGTCACGTGGCCCTATGCATAAAATGCCTATTATTGGTAACATGTCACTGTAGCCTTAGATTTTGTAATTCACTGGAAGTTAAGAAGCATAAGGTGAACTTAGCTATATGCTACTGTATATAACACTGTATTTACATCTGGAATTGTTGTTTGCACAGCTATTTCAGTCACAAGCTTCCCCTACTCGTATTCCAACCTGACATAACTTATACTACAAGCGTTTACAATGCAGATGTTTGGAGCTTCCTCTCTGCTGCAGGAATGCCAGTCTTAGGTGTCAATTTTAGTAAACTAATATATTTTACTCTAACATAATAATTATACATGGTCAAAACCTTAAACATTGTGCCTCGTGTACTGGAGTAATGCAATTCTCTCACTAGAGCAAATGAAATCATGTACTGTGTTACACTTGGTCCAAGTTGTATATGACTGCTTTTTCCTTCTTAGTTATAGTAGTATAATGGTAGGTTATACCAATGATTAGTCTTTTAGTACTTCAGTACTTTTAGGTGTAAATAAGTTTATAAAAAGTAACTGAGTGTTTTCAGTGTTTGAGCTACTATAGTCTAGGTCCGAGAAAAACAGCTAGGAGTGTGCAGAAGTCAGCTCAAAGCTAAGGTTTGTTCCTTCACCCTACTGCTGATGGGAAAAACAGACCAAAGAAATTGAAGGAATCATATGTGAACTGTTTATTCCAGTTACTAAATGGAGAATAAACAGGAGTTCTGTCTGAAAGAGGAGTCATCCTTCTGTACTTAACCATATAACATACAAACCATAGGGAAGTCTACTGAGAAGGCCTGCACTATACTGCTGGGTAAAACAGTGGCTGTTTGATGTAGGGAGTGGTGGAAAGCAGAGATTTTGAAGCTGAGAAGAGTTGTGAAAATGCAAAATATATTCATTCCTTTCAAGCATTTGTACTGTCACTAAGAATGTAATCCTCAAAATACTCCTGCAAGGCACAATAAATGAGAATTAAAATGATACAATAGCAGCAGGAGAAAAAGGCTACAAACTGTTAACTGCAGAAATTTTACAGCAAGACACTAAAGACAGAACTGTCTGTGTTTCTGTGTCTTTTTTCAGGACACTAGTTATGTAGTCCATTTACTCCTAATGTAGATAAAAGAATGGCAATGGGACCTTCTCAAATTTTTGAGGCCTTATCTGAGATAGTTCATTCATGTATTAAAATATAGATCCCTGTCTTCAGGTTTTACCAACAAGATGAGATAAATGTTCTGCCTGAAATTAGTGATATTAATTCTTCTACCAAAAGATTAGAAGTTAGTGACTGTAGAGCTGAGCACTCACTATAGTAGAAAGAAACACTTAGAGACAGGAATCTGTTAACTGAAGTAAAAGAGAGCTAAGTCAACCCTGAAACTCAAAGAAACGTAGGAGAGATATTTCTGCTGTCAGACTATCATTTAAGACTCCACTGCCCAGTCTTACAAGGCAAGGAAATAGGAAGAGACGATTTACATCATGTGCTAGAAAATATTAAGCTGTATGTGAGGGCACGAGCAGAAAAGATAAAGTTCTGTGAGTTCATGCTAAGTGTGAACTGTAGAGAATACTTGGCTCATAGAGGCTCATAAGCTTGCTTAGAAGGTGATATGAGTGAGGAGAAATTGTAATGTGAATTTTACAATTTTCTTTTTTGTTTGTTTCTTTCTGCTACAATCTGTGATTTTAAGTGAACAAGTTATTTTTGTCCTTATAACTTGTCTGTCAATGAAACTGGATCCTTTTATCAGACTGTTCTGTTTCTTTGTAGGGACAAATTTCCACTGCATATGGTGCGTTGGCCTTGACTGCCTGCTAGATACCCACTGAACTGTTTTCTCCCTCCTTAACATCAACAGGATGGGGAGAAATCATGAGTCAAGATAGAGAGAACACTTACTAAGTACACAGGATGAACAGACTAGCGTTGGGAAAAACTAATTAAAATAGAGTTGAATGGGGAGAAACAAAGACAAAATATTGATACTGCCTTCTGTTCACCCTCTTCCTTTTTCTCAGGCTCAACTTCACTCCTTCAATCCTGACTCCTCTACCTCCTCTTCCTGAGTGGTGCAGGGGTATGGGAAATGAAAGCTGAGATCAATCTGTAACAGCTCCTCTCTGCCACGTTTTCATTCTCACGCTCTTCCTGTACTCCCATGTGGCTCCTTCCCTTGGGATACAGTCCTTTGCAAACTGCTCTAACATAGGTTGTCCATGGGCCACAGTTCCTTCAAGATAAACCTGCTCCAGCATGGGCTTCAGGGGAATCACTGCTCCATGTCTGGAGCACCTCATACCCTCTTTCACTGAACTTTGTGTCTGCAGAGCTGTTTCACATTTTTCTCACTTCTCTCTCCCAACTGTTGTGCAGCATTTTTTACCATTTCTTAAATAAATTGTCCAAGAGGTGCCACCACTTTGGCTGCAGGGCTCAGTGTGTCCATTGGAGCTGACTGAACCACTTGGGGCAGCCCTCCTCACAGAGGTTGTCCTTGCAGTTCACCCCAGCAACCAAAATGTTGCCTTGTAGACCCAACGCAATAAGATACCAGGTCAGTTTCACAGTAACAAGGGCTCCACTATCTACAAAAACTTTCATATTGTACCCTCACTGAGCTGCTCAGTCTCCTTGAGAACTGTGCTCCATAATACTGAGAATAAGAAGGTTTTTCTGATGGCTGACAGTAGCTGGATATACATCCAGGTAACAGTGGCATTTCTGAGCCTTACAGGGAGTGTGTAGTATTTGTGCTGAGACTGAATAGTCCTTTTCAGCACAGCTTGGGAGACACAACTCAGGACTCATCTTTGTCCCATGAAGGGCCATGAATTATGCATGCACCAAGTTATGCAAAAGAGATTTAGCAATTTTCCTTTTGATGGCTCTGACAAAGTCATTTGCTGACATGCTTCTCCGTTTCCTGAGGAAGTCCTAGTAAATTGCTAGCTGTGTGGCAAGGCTGAGGGATCTGATGACTGGAAATAAGAGCACTGTATTGCATTGCAGGAAATTGTGTTCTTATATCTTTGCATATATATGTGTAAAATACAAAAAGCCTTGTAGCAGCAGAAAGCAGGAGGTATAGAGCTGACGGAGAACACAAGCTGTGCCTTGCCTGCCTTTCTGTCACAGGAGGCTGGGAACAGCTG